GTAAATAAGCGAAGCACACTGAAAACTCGTCAGTGTTCCTCCATAGCTCTCTATCAATTCGACCTTGTTACCAGGCAACTGCATACTTTGCGTGACCCTTACATCTTTCTACAAAACCTGCCCGCTAGCAAAAAAGCTAACATTCACACCACACAAGAGCGTCAACTTGCAGCGACGTGATATGATGACATGAGCAAAAATGAAATCTTGTTGCCCACTACCCGAATCGAACGAGCGATCTTCGCATTACAAGTGCGACGCCTTACCGCTTGGCCAAGCGGGCTTACTGATTTGATGGAATAGGGAGCAACTTTTAATAATATATAATTAATCTAAACGAATACAGTTTCCGGTGTTGGGCTCGATGCGAAGTCATCTGGCAGATGTGATTGGAGTTAGCCTGTGAGCTAGCTCATCGTCCGTGCGCGAGGCGCTTTGCAACCCTTCAAAGAGTGGCAAGTGTAGGGAACCTCAAGATGCATGTTTGGTATGTGATAATTGCAAAAGATGATGCATTGAACTATGGAACTCCATAACCTAGTGCTAGCAAAGAACACTTTCCTGAGTCTCAGTGTTTGCCGCACACCGACCTAAACTCCATGCTCAAAGATATGCTTCACAAAATCCCCACCCTGAAATCCACCTACAGCCACAACGCAACCAGGTGATCCGACTATGCGAGTCCGAAGATTCCCCTCATCCTCCTCGCCAGCTCCTTCCCCATAGCCTTGCGCGTATCCTCGGTCCGCATCGCCGCTTCCTTGTTCTCGCTCGCGCGTCTCAGCAAGAAGTTCAAGCACTCCATCGTAGTTCCCCAGGTCATGCACTTGATAACCTTGGCATTTATATCCGCCTTCATCGTTGGGTCCTGAACCAAGCTCTGCGAGACCTCGTCGGCCATGCCCTGCAGCTGCGCGTATACGAGGGGAGGCAGGTTCTCAGGGGTGGTGGAGGCCATTTGCTCCGCGCGGATCTTCTTGGCCTTGTGCACGGATACGAGGTTGTGGGTTGCGAGGACGATATTAACGCGGGGGAAGGACATGGAGGGGGTGGGTGTGGAGACGGTATCTGTCCATTGTTGGCGGAGGACGGCGTCGGCACAGGCGTCGTAGTTGATGTCGGTACCTTCTTTGGTGTCGAAGGTGAGGTGCTTGGGTTCGGAGGTTAGGTATGCGCCGCGGACGAGCTTTACGCCTGCGATGTAGCCGCCCTTTGAGGCCGTCTCGAGGTGTTGAGCCATGCGCTTGGAGATGTCGCGGAGGTAGCATTGGTAGGTTATGTAGAGGACGGCGCGGCCTTGCTCGAGTGTGTTGTACTTCTTCTGGAGAGAGAGAGTCCACTTCTCGAGACCGAGGTTTGTGGCTTCTTCTTCTGCTCCGGGGAGCAGGCTGACGCCTTTCGCTGCGGCGGCATCGCAGGCCGCGGTTATGGCGGACCACATTTCGGGTGTGGCGTCCTGTTGGTTTTGGAGGAGGTTGAGGGCATGGCGACCGAGACCTGACCATCTGGTAATTCGTTAGTACATATAGGTTCGGGAGTTGGGGAAAGGGTAAGTACTTGAGCCCGACGAAATCACCCTCCTTCGCCATATCAACACTCTGCAGCATGCCCTTCCTCCACAGCTCGATCTCTTGCTTGGTCTCTGCAGCTGTGGGCGCTTCTCCACCAAGCACTTCCAGCGCATACTCAAACAGTATACCACCGTATCCCAGTGTGCGGGCAAAGTCTGTGTTCCTCACTACCTCATCTTTCTTCTCACCAACGCAGAATTGCGCGTAGAACGTCTTCTTCAACAGACTCGAAAGTACCGGGTTGCGCTCAATGCTCATGAGAAACGACTTAGAATCAAGCATTCGCCGTAAGATGCCGAAGCATGCAGAGAGCAGTAATGGAGACGATGACATGGCGGTGATGAGGTAGGAGCGGAGGACTGTCGATGTTGGTAGGCGGCCGAGGACGGCTGTGGTGGTCACCCTTCGTGGTTCTGATTGTATAGGCTCTACCTCGGGAGAGTCTGATACTTGCGATGATGTCGGTACAGCGACATTTTGCCGTGAGCTTTGATGAACGAACCGTGGTGTCTGGGAGAGGGTTCGAGACGTCTGGGAGAGCGCGAGGCGCTGGAAGCGTTGAAGGGGTTGTCTCCGTAGCATCATTGTCGACTGTGTGTGTCGTGTATGTTAGCGGCGCTCAAGTTCGGTGCAGAAGTTCTTTGTAATGTGTTGAACTCGTGCTTCGGAGTCAGTGAAGCGCCAAGGGGGGAGTCCCAGGGGCCAGCGATTTTGTTGGAAATCGGACGTCTTGTGACTATTTACGGTGTACCAGACGCCATATATACGGTGAATGACACTGGTGTTGATTTCAAGGGTCTTGCACGACGTTGAGAGGGCGCTTCGGCTTGCGTCGGCATGCGCTAGTGATGCTCTATCGTGCTTGCTCCAGATGGTGCCAGACTGACGCAGCCGGATCCGGCCTTGCTTTATCGGCCATGGTACAGGTAGCCGATGATTGGACAATTTCGTGCGAGCCATGATGATGCTGTTGTTCACGATGAGAGGTTTCCAAGGTTGTGTGCTCTCCCGAAGGAACGCGCCATCAGCGTCGCTATATGCGCCTGCCTCGCACTCCATCGCCAAACCTCCAGACTGAGCTCCATCTCCTTTGAGGTATGTGGCTTGCCAGATGTCCATCATCCATCGTGACCTCGTCATGCCTGTTACCCCACAGTCGGCGAATGCCTTAGAGCCATTATTAGCGCATCCATGCTTCGCACAACTCTGTAAGCGATCCACGTGCAATGTGCCGCCCCTTCTCAGAGCCGAATCTAGCCAGCCGCCATCGCTCTTATCCAAACGATATCGCGAAAGGCGTCCGTTTCCTCTGACGCGCCATCTCCACCCGGGTCTGGATGATAGCCATGGGCACCGATATCGGGTTGTATGAGATGCGCGAATTCTGATGGGGAGACGGCAAGCGCGAGGAGGGCCGTAGCTGCTGCGGAAAGCGTCGGCCAGGGTCCACACCGACGTTCAGCTTCCGACAAACCTTCACCCACACAACATCGTCCTCGTCATCGTGCACTTTGAGCACCGCATGCCGCATGCAGACCTGACTTCTTCCTGGACCTTGTTTGGGAGTGCGGCAACTGATAGTGAACTAAGTCGGGACGCTCGGTAGAATTTGTCATCATCACCAGAAAACTTCATCAGTCATCTTCCATGCGAACGTGTATATCGTTCTTTCAACTACTACCCAACCTTTTCCTTCTCAATCTATCTTCTAAACCAGCCTGTCTAGCCTCTGAGTTGAACATTGAAATCCCACGGCGACGAAGAGTCTACCATCATTATTCAACCCGCGACTGTGCCATCCTTAAACCTCCTGATCATGCGAGCCTCATACCGTTGGGTATAAATGAGCCACCCGTGTGCGCAACATTGAAGTTCGTTTTTGAGCGCGTCTTCTTCTGCATCGCCAACCTTATCAGGTTCTTGTTCTCTCTCTCGGTGAGGTTCTCGAGGATCGGCCCCGGCAACATCGGAAGCATCTGCGTGATAGCGTCAATATCATCTTCCTTCTCTTTCTTGTGTCACAGAGCTTCCGCTCTTGCGCGGTACTCCTGGAACTCTTTTTCGTTCGCAGCCATCAGCTTTAACAGCAGCGCCTTTTTGCGCTCTTCGATGGTGGGTATCGGTAAGATGTGCAAGAGTGGCGTTGGAGGTAGCGTCGTGGTGGCTTCCGATGGGCTTTTGTCGACGCTCTTGACGCTTTCTTGGCCGGTGTCTTGCTGTATCTTCCCGACTCCCTCGACCTTTCCCTCTATGCCATCTCTCGCATCTCTTTCCTCTTCTTCCACACCCTTGGCAGCTTCATACAAAGTAATTTTGCGCCTTGTAGTTTCTTCGGTCTCCCCACCTTCTGCAATCGTCGACGCGAAGCTCAGTATAGACAATTGTGGGGCCTGACTGCCACGACGCCGGGGTGGTTCCCCTGCGTCGATGTCTTCTGCTCCACGACATGAGTCCGTCGATGGGCCAGTACGCGTGGGAACCGCAGCCCAAGACTCTGCATAGCCCAAACTGGCGCTGCCTGTGAATATTCGCTTCGCAGACCACGTAAAGCCGTTCATCGGCTTGGGAAATGTGTGATGGTTTTCCTTCTTACCGGGCTGCTGAGTCTTGACCATCTTGTTCCAGGCTCGCTTTGCAAGTTTCGGCGGCTTTGGGACGTCCGGCAGATAATCCTCGATTGTGTGGGATGTCTCTATGAGCTTTTCGGCGTCTTTGACTGTGAGGATGGCGGCCGGATCTTCGGTAAGAAGGGTGTCGAGCTTCTCGGTGAGCTTGTCTATGCGTATCCAGATTGCGGTTTTGGCGGAAATAATATGGAGTTCCTCGATAGATTTCTTCGCGGGCGTCTTGATAGGCTCCGCGGTACCGTGCACGTCGGCGCAATGATCGCCTCGGCGCAACGATTGCGGAACATCGGAACACCAGAATGATGCCAATTTCAACGCCTGATAACTCTACCAATATGAGTCCAATGGAAGCTGCTGTTGCAGCAATCAAATTGCTGGAACCAGGAGAACCTTTTACATGTACAG